TAGAGCAGTAGTTTAATGATAAATGTTAGGTGATAGTTTTCTGTTCCCATTGCTAGTTAGGAGTTAGGTTTTACAGTTAACCTATTGTGTTGCCAGGATAGAAATTTTTTGGCTTAAAATTTACGGTTTGTAAGTAGAGGAGGAGTCTTGCTAAAACATTAGATATAGGCTGATTTGAATATCTCACTTACTTAATGACCTCATGTCATGTTCCTTAGGTAGTTTATAATTTATACAGAGTAAATTAGGTAGGAAGCTATCAAGTCTTATTTATGTGTGAAGGGATAGTCACTGATAGCAGTGAACTAATTCATATGAAGAGTGTTTATCTGGTGATTTTCCCTAGGGCCAAGCGTGTGTTTTTTCAGAGGGATGAATTACTCCCTACTTTCTTGTTGGTCATGCATGCACGTAAGCATTGTCGCCTTATTAATTGTGAATCCTAATGGTTGACTTTAAATGATCTTGGAAATGTTGGAACCAACAATACGGAGAACTTGATACTCTTGTTGTATTGTATTATGTTGGATTCAAGTGTTAGCTTAAGAACTAAATCCATAATAAATAAATTTGCATGACATAATGGTAAGCGGCATGTAGTGCTATTAGATTTTATGGAGATTAAACTCAAGCCTACAACGGGCATTTATGACAACTTATAATGATTATATATGGTTCCAAACGACATTACATGACCCCGTGATGTATTCCCTAGTTTCTCAAAACTTTTCGACACCGGGTCCCGAAACCTCCAAAATTGCTCAAAAAACGTGGATAATAGCCTTCAATTTTGGAAATTTTTTACTTTTTTGGCCCGAAAATAAAAGTTGTCAAGATGTTTATCATGGAACCTAATACCCTTCGGGAGTCCAATTGGGTGGGTGGAACCATCCAATTTGCCTTTAAGCATCCAATGTACCCGTTCACAATTTGTACCGATTTCATAAATTCAAGCCTACCACGGACATTTATGATTACATATAATGATTATATATGATTTTAAACGATATTATATGACCTCGGGATGTATCCCCTAGTATCTCAAGATTTTTCGACACCGGGTCCCGAAACCTCCCAAATTTATCAAAATGTGTGGATAATAGCCTTCAATTTTGGAAATTTTTGACTTTTTTTGGTCAGAAATAAAAGTTACCGAGATGTTTATCATGGAACCTAATATCCTCCGGGAGTCCAATTGGGTGGGTGGAACCATCCAATTTGCCTTTAAGCATCTAATTTACCCGTTCATAGTTTGTACCGATTTCATAAACTCAAGCCAACCACGGACATTTATGACGACATATAATGATTATATATGGTTCCAGACGACATTATATGACTTCGGGATGTATCCCCGGTATCTCAAAACTTTTCGACACCGGGTCCCAAAACCTCCAAATTGCTCAAAAAGCGTGGATAATAGCCTTCAATTTTAGAAATTTTTGAATTTTTTTGGCGCTAAAATAAAAGTTTCCGAGATGTTTATCATGGAACCTAATACCCTCCGGGAGTCCAATTGGGTGGGTGGAACCATCGAATTTGCCTTTAAGCATCCAATTTACCCATTCACAATTTGTACTGATTTCATAAACTCAAGCGTACCACGGACATTTATGACCATATATAATGATTATATGGTTCCAAATGACATTATATGACATTTGGATGTATCCCCCTAATTTCTCAAGACTTTTCGACATCAGTTCCCTAAACCTCCAAAATTGCTCAAAAAGCGTGGATAATAGCTTTAATTTTGGAAAATTTGACTATTTTTGGCTCGAAAATAAAAATTGTCGAGATGTTTACCATGGACTCTAATATCCTCTTGGAGTCCAATTGGGTGGGTGGAACTATCCGATTTGCCTTTAAGCATCCAATTTATTTGTTTTCGTACATGCCTCTTTTATGGGTTATTCACGGGGCCTTATGTAGCCGAAATAATGGTCATATATGGGCTACGTTACTCGGACTCTTTCATTTACCTCACATGTTCGTGTCGGACACCGACAGCGACACTTAGACACTTCATTTTTAACTAAAAACACAATTTTTTTCAAAAAAATCGGCGAGTCCGATACTTGGACACCCGTGGCTAATTTGACACTTCATCCGAATCCAAGTAACATAGTATATGGGTCGAAACAATATTATATGACCCCTTGATGCATCTCGTAGTGTTTCATGAATTTCCGACACCGGGTCCGACACCTCCTAAATTGCTCAAATTTCGTGTATAATAGCCTTTATATTTGGCTTCCGTATATCACTATATTATTTTTTCACCCGGCGAGATTAGGTACTTCCATGAGTTCCCAAAGGGCCTTGGGAGTCGTAAATAGTACCTGGAACCATCTCATTCATTCTTAATCATCATGTCTTAAGGCAAAGTCGACATACCCTTGAATAACAAAAACATCTATATGTATGCCTTGTCCTTGGGTGCACATGTCTTGTGCACATGCCACACGCCCCCCCTACACCATCCAACATCCCTACACTTGGGCTTTGTTACTTGTCTTAGACCTGTACTTAGCATTTTTTAGTGTAGTTTTCCAAACTATAGGTGTTTTTAGGGAATAGGGTGGGGGGAGGGACGAATTGAAGTGACATAGGGCTGAATTTCAGTGGATTGTGGCAGCAAGGCCACTCTGCCACTTACAATACCCCGTCGTGTATTTAAGTCGTTTGCAAAGGATTCAACCCGCCGCTTGATAGGAATTGTACTTTAAGGCAGCTCTCATGGCGCATGTGCTCGGTAACTTATGAACTAAATCAGTAATAAATAAATTTGCATGATATAATGGTAAATGGCGTTTAGTGCCATAAGATTTTATGGAGATTAAAACTCTTTAGTTATTAAGCATATTAAGCTTTTAATCTTCAAAGGTTTTGTTGCAATATATGGTGAAAATTTAAACACCTTTTCCCACAACTATGTTTTGGCCATGTAGTTTTGCAAGCTTACAATCTTTTCAAACGTATCTGTAAAATTTGTGCTGAACTAGCTAACCAGATACAATGCTTGATGCTTAAGCTTGAAATTTGCAGTCCTTGATATTGGTGGGGGTTTACAATATGCAATGGTGACTTACAGCAATTTTTGTTGTGTGACAAAACCCCATATTCTTCTTATTTTGTGTATACATGATTGCAGGAAGGTGAAACTATTCGGATAAATGTGAAGCACAAACTAGCGAGTGGATCAGGTATGCTTTCTTCTGGGATTAAGTCTGTGGGGCTTGCTCCACCTCCAAATGGGTCTGGGAACCCAAAACCTCTGGGCCTTGCTCCACCTCCAAGTGGGTCTGGGAAGATTCGTTCTGTACTCCCACCACCACCCAATGACCCTGCAGTCACTAGGCTTACTTCTAATCCCAAAGGCTCAAAAGACAGTGCAAGACATGCTGTGGATCCTTTGTCTGATTTTTCACAACTTGAGGTAAGTCCCTCAGCATAGATGTGCTTCTTTAACTGGATCAAATTACCAAAATTATGTTTCACAGTTGACTTCATCGTTTAACTTATTCCACTTGGATCAAGTTACCAAAAATGTCTAAAGTACATGTTGCAATAGTGTGTGTGTGCACACGCGCACTTTTTTTTGGTGGGAAAATAAATGACATTGACACTGTTGAAAGAAGGGAAAATTTTCATTCAGGTACTCTGATTATTAATTATAAATTCTTTCTTTGTAGGTTTTGTAATTCCTTAGACTTAAAGCTACCATCGACCTTTATAATCAGTTTCATTTGGGTTATTCTAGGCTATTTTGTTGATAAATCTGTAATATGTTGATGATGTCTGAGTGAAGCTAAATTCCAAAATTCCTGGTACTTATGTGGAATTATTGATAGGACATGATACTTTCAAATTAATAGGTCGTGTGTCATATGAGTGAAAATTTTCTTGAAAGAGTTCTGTTTCTGCTGTAGGCTTTAGTGCAAACCTTTTCTTTTGGATTTGGACACTTAATAGGACCTTGATCTCATAGTCAATTTAGAACATTAGGTGTTAGAGCAACCATGTATGTGTTGACGTTTTAAGGTAGCATCAAGACTACTTGTTCAATTTCATGATTACACTTCATATTTACAACTTACTAGTGAGAATTGATGGTGTAGCTGAACTTTTTCATTCTCTTATGATATACGAGTAAGAAGTATCCTTTTACTTTTTTTAATCTTAAATGGTTGAACATTCCTTTTGATGTATGTTGCCATATTTGAAAGAGCATGTGGCTGGTTCATTGTGCTTATTCTGCATTATTTAAATGTACTTGATGCAATCTGCAGAGGAATCTTCCTTCTAAAGCTGGATCTGGGACAACAAATGGCAGTGCTGCTGGATGGGCTGCGTTTTAAATGTACTCCATTGGTTTCCCACATATGTACTATTAGATTGTTGTTTACAAAACGAGAGAACAGTGCGCCTATGCGTGCGCGCGCGAGAGAGGGAGAGACTTACAACCCGGAGGTTGTTTATTGAGTTATTGAATTTTTACCAATTTCTTCAAAATAATACATCAAAATATATGTTTATAAACCTCAGTGAACCCTATTATATGGCTACTAATACTTGATTACTTGTGAATGTTGTGATGCACCCTTTTGATGAGTATATCTGCTAATGTGCTATGGCATAAGAGAAAATAGCTAGTTTGTAGGAATGCTCCTTGTATTTTCAAGAGTTGTATACTTGTATTATTGTATGTGTAATTTTAAAAGGAAATATTTACTCCGCGAGTCTTAAGTTTCAAAATAATGGCATCAATTTGACTTTTACACTTTTACATAACTTATAAATTGTATATAAAATAAAAAACAATTTTGTTATGACTTTTTTTAAAATAAATTAATTTATGAATTGAAATTTTTTTAAGGGTCAATGATTTGCATTATGTGAATGTCAAATTGTGGCAATGAAAGCATGTAGTGTACTATTCAGTACGGAGTATAAATTTGATTTAAATAGGATTGTCAAGTTCCAAAAAAATCAATACATACACAAATAGAACAATATAAAATTTCATACTCAATTTGTATCTACTCAAATTTTGCACAGCCCAAATCTTGATAGCTACAGTAGTTTGGAATAGATTTAATAATACATCTTGTGGTTTTAGTCTATATAGCAACCTGCAACCTTGCAGCAAAAATATAAGCCTCTTGATTTTCAACTATAAAATCACTAAGACAAGGAATTAACAAAATTGAGGGACTTTAACTGCTTTGACAAGCATCACACGGCCACATAGGTTTCCTACATATATCACTACAAAAAGGGTGTGTCTGTGTTTGGGGAGGGGAAGAAGCTTCTAATTGTGGTAATCAAGCATCAGTTGAAGATTGCGAGGTAAGTTGGACCCAAACAAACTCTTCTTTGTAAGATGGATTTCCTTCACAAGAGTCAGCACAGGTGTACACCACTATTGTTGCCCAGTCCAGCGAGTTGACATCATTGTTCACACCAAAGTAGTACAGCAATTGAGGCAAGATCTACAAACAAAGCATCCGATATATTATCAATTAAATACATTGTTGGGAAAAATTGCCTCAAGCATGAGAATCTCTTGGCTAATTAAGTGAATGTAAACAAACCTGTAACTCAAATTTCATTGTGCCGCCACAGGAAGAGCACTTTGGTATATCAGCTTTAGATGGTCGGCCACTTGATGTAGGCCACAAAGGCTTTGCCCCTTCATCTCTAGAGTATCTGTTTTTGGGCAAACAAAAGAAAATAAGTTGTAACATCAATCATTTGAACCACAAAATAGGCATGCAATGATGCAAACAATATTTCCCAGAGAAAATATGATTTCAAAAACTTCATGTCACAGAGCAATGTAATGCAGCCCAGAATGTCAGGTCTTCATTACACTTTAGCAGTTTAAACCATCAGATATGCAATGAATCTCTCCATGATGTATAAACAAGTCTACAGTTTGATCAGCTACATATATATTCAGAGGTGGTTGAAATGACAAAAAAGGAGACCATAGTTTGTTTGGGCCTTTTGGGATGTGTGTGTGGGAGAGGTTACATGACGGGAAGGCTTAGGCTTGTGAAGTTGTGATTGCTTGGTAATTTACAATACAACACATTACTCCGACAGGCTCCTGCAAGAGGAATGGGGAGGTAGATTCGAGCTTACCCATTTTGGTTATTCATGAGCAACCAAACTACACCTGAATAATAATAATAATATAAAAAAAATAAAAAATAAAATTTAAAAAAATAAAAAAAATTAAAAGCAACTGACTCTAATATAGATAGATTCCAAAATAAATGAAGTTGCAGCTTCTATGGGTTATTAAAATGCACCTGCAACTACAACACAAGGTAAACTTGCTTCTGTGTGGAGATGAGACTCATGAGAGATATACTACTCACGAGAGAGAACCCAAGAGCCAGGTAAAGCAGTAAAAGTGATGTCTTGTATGTAACATTGTAATTGCGTACTCTGATCTTCCAGTAAAAGGAATATATATATATATGTGACTATTTTTTATTTTCATTATAGCCTTGAGCCCTTGACCCTTCTATCATTTCTGTCAGGGCACACTTTTATAACTGTTAGAATATCATAGTGACAATACTCCAGATGGTTGGAGTACATATTTACCCTTCTGAGGGTTTCCTCATAACAATCTTCCAGCTGATTATGGCTACACGCATGTGTTACTGGACTGCAGTACAAATCCTCTGTCCTCTATAACAGTCAAATCCTAGGAAACGAAAAAAATTAGAGGAAACCTCATATATTGTGATATTTTTCCTATTATGTCTTAAAGATCATACTCAAAGTCTAGGCGTCAGATAAGTTTCTGGTATGGGTATAGGTATGGGCGTATGGCTAGCTAAATCGGCGAATCAAAACAGAGGTCCAAAAACGGCATAAGCTAATCATGACCTAATCTGATTTACCCCAACTCAAATCCTTTTAGTAATCTACTGAAAACAAGTAGTCACAAGATAACAAAGTTTCCAGATAGAAATCTAAGTATCACATATAATGCATAAACCATAAGAATATACATATTGTAACACACTCAAAATGTACATAAGCAATAACTGTACTACATAAATATAGATTACCTCAATACTTGTTCAGGGGCTTTAGCAAGATGCTGTTGAAATGTCGCCCAGCTCTGTCGATCATCATCACCCTGTTCAGAAACCAGGAATAATTTATAACCACTCCAGGGAAACATTTACCACCTAAAAGTAGAAAGTCGTACACAGCATTAGCTCACACCTCAAAGCTGTCCATGAGTGAGTCAGCTGCTTCATCCACTTGTTGCCTTGAGACCAATGAATCATTTTCATCAGTATCAGAAAATGAAAAGTTATCTTCATGTTCGTTTATGATCTCAAACTCAGGCCAAAGAGCTTTGCTTGCAGCTGTTCACAATCAACAAGAAATTATCATATACAGCCTTATCCAACAAATGCTATATCAACACAACTTACAAATAAAAATATGTTAAGAATGTCTTCCAAAAACTACCTTGTTATGAGACCTCCCACTCACCTCCCCCCCCCCCCCCTTCTTCCCTCATGGTGAGATGCATATAAATTGGTTGTACGAAAAAAAAATAAAAAAAAAATGAGCAGCTGTCTTGTATCTTCCATCTTTTCCCGATAGCCCTCCTCTCAAAGGCCCTTTCCCTATATTCTCCTTGTTCTCTCTCTTCCATACTCGGTCCTTCCTTTATAGAGTTCTCCACCACCATGGTGAAGACAGAAGGGCATTAATTATGGAAAGGAGATAAGCTTCTCAAGTTAAGTTCCTGCCCATGCATGCATCTTCTGTTTGACTGTCTGGCAACCTCCCCATCCCCTTCTATGACTATATAATTTTATCATTCGTATTTCTTTACTGCCCTAATATTACATATTTTCCTTTTGGTTTAGCAGCTTTTATCAGTTTTGATTTTCCCCGCTTATTCAACTACAAGTTTCACTATTATTTCTAAACTGCCCTTTCTACAAAAATAACTTCTCAAAGTTGATCAGGAAAATACAAAGTGCACTAGTCAAAGACTTTCATTAAAGTGAAAACACTGCATTCCAGAAGCAATTTAATATAAATGTGAACACCTCTAAAGCATCTGTCCATCTGATGGTATAACAAATCTCCCATATTAACCCACGGGTCACAATTAGCAGCTAGTGGGCTCATAGATGAGGCATAGCAATAAACGGAACAGAGAAAACATATACAAACAGTAACATGGTCAAAGAGAGATCAAGTAAAACAGCATTTACACACTTCAGTTCAATGATAACTACAAAGACTCAATTCATCTCCTCCCAGGTTCCCACCATTATTTCAGTTTGAGGCACGAAATTAGCTAGCTATTAGAGCATAAACTGACTATTAGCATTTTTTATGCTGAAATATGATCAGAGATACAGAGCTTGCAGTGCAGGCAAGCAGCAGTGTCAGACTACAAGACAGTCTTGTTCTAAACCATGCAAGTGACGCAGCAAGGTATATGCATTTACAAGAAATTCACCAAAATCAAGAGAATTCCAAGGATCAACATTTTTCCGGCACTTAAATAACACAAAATAATCCAGCAACCACACAGAATCCAATATATCATAGCCACATGGGGTTACAGGTAAATCATTCAAATTAAGTTAAGAAATTAAACAAAGCATTTTGATTTTTTTTGAAATTGCATATTAAGAAGACTAGATATATGATCATTGACAAACCTGTGACAGCCTCATTTGAAGAGGTATCATCAGATGATTTGGAAGAAATACTTAGTTGTTGACATTTGACTTTATGATCTGCACGCCAGTGCAATACCTACAAGCAGTGAGAGAAAAAATTAGTAATGGTTAAGCTTACAAAGTCACTCAAATTCAAAAAAGATTAAGTTGCAATTACCTGATGTTTCTCAGAGCAGTAACGAGCTGTTTTGCAGTTGCTACATAATTTATTTCCTTTCCATGTGCCACACCAAGCACAAAGGGGAGCTAAACAACATAAGTGACAATCAGAAGACATTTAAATCACTTGGGAGGGTTGGGACAGAGCAAATCGAAAGAGTGAATAATATAGAACTTTTTATTTTTGAGGTGGGGGGGGGGAACAGATGTCAGTTACAAAGTACAGGCATTATTGTGACAAGCAGCAGAAGTAAGCTACTATACTGTAGGCTCATCATGACCAAAAGTCCAAAACTCTTTGAATTTATCCTCAAGGTAGTCTTTGACATAAGTTCAAATAAGGATTACCAAGTTTGTTTACAGCAAAATGGTGATCAGAAAAGTTCAAGTAATTTTCAATAAGGACATTTCAGATTAAACATCTCTGTTTTGAATTGTTGTTTGAAGACTTTGAACCATAGGGTTCAATCCATTAATTTTTCATCCCAACCATGAAGTCTAATTTAACTTTATTATGTGACCTTTCATTAATTAAAATATACTTTTGTACCCCTATTTTTTAAGAATGAAATATCCTCCTAATAATATATTAAAACGGCATAGTTTCTTCGCCCCCTTTATTTCCTATCACTACACATGTTACAATTAATCAACATCATGTAATTGTTCACAATCTACATGTTCCATTCGAATTGAACATTAACATATTTCCAAATCAGTGTATCAAATATTGGAGCATTGTAAGGGTGATTATCAAGATAGTTCAGAATTTTCAAAATAAAAACATAAACCAAGATACCTCCTGATCCTAATGGTCTGGCACTCCCATCCTTCTGCGCCTCACTTGAGTAAAAGGCATTCGTAAGCGGGAGTTGGCAGCGGAAAACCTTCACACTAGAAATAAACATTGCGCCCAAACTTAAGTGATGAAAGAACTACTTAAAATACTTTAAAAAGAATCAGCTAATTATTTCCATAAAAACAGAAGATACCTTCGAGATGGCACTTGTGGTCCACGCTTCCATTGCTCGTGCTGATCTCTAAGAAGGCATGTCATAGAAAGGCACATGAACACATATAAAGTTCGATGAAATGCTGATTCCTTTTCTGAGATAGGAGCATACACCTGTAGTTGCACCAAAATAAACACATTTGAACAAAACATACTCAATGTTGTGCAATTAAGCAAACCGAATCAATGTCCTATCAAAAACCGGTGTGCATATTAGAATACGAAACACAAACACAACACAAACCTGAAGTAAGAACTGCAAAGGCTCCCCACACATATCACAAAGACACGACTTCCCGGTCGGTAAATTCACAGGATCCAACCACGCCTAAACAAGTAAGGATATAATCTTGCATCAAAAAATAGATCAAAACACAATAAATAAGAGCATTAGAGTTCAAAAGAGCTAGCTAGACACACCGGAACACCTCCGGCTTTGCTCGGAAAGGCTTCACGGAGAAGCAACCGGCTATTCTTAGGCTTTTCAACAAAACCAAGCCATACAGGGACTTGTTCAACATCATCATTATCGTCATAATCATTAACATCATCAAAAACTCGGTCGCCGGAAGCCGATATTTCATGGCTTTCCAGCTCTGGCATTGATTCACCACCTGTATCAACTTCCAACTCCTCTAAACACATTTTACCCTAAAAATCAAAAATCAAAACACGAAAATAAACAATTTTACTCAATTATCAATTTTAATTCCTCTCGCTTACGAATATGAATAGCAAAATTACAGATTATAACCAATAGTTCGATAATCACTTAACCTTAGAAGAACCCTAAATTGACTGTAATAACAATTAAATTAACGATTACACTGTAACACAGATGTTTGTTGATGAAGAAAATCAATTTACCTCAATACCTCGAAGCTGCTTCAATGGAGGAGAAAAAGCTCAGAAAGGCACTTCAATGGAGAATTCAAAGTACGGTTCAATAGAGGAGAGAGAAGTAGAGGGGTGCACTTGAAAAACTACAAATTTCTGTGCAAATGAGCAGCATTTACTCGTACCAGTTTTACGAAACATAAAAACTACGAAGTATAGTGCTACGGTCTAGACTTTGGTCTATGCCCTATATCGGCTACTCCGTATATGGGTTTGTAGACGTGATTTAATTAAGGGACTTGCGAATGTTGTGTGGACATGAGTGAGCTTGTGTGATTTCAATTCTATTTTAGGGAGTACCAATGTACCATATAATTATTTTCTAGTTTTTTTTTTTTTTTACAATAGTAACTACCAAACTAAAAACAACAAACACACAAAAAATCAAAAGAACCAAAACAGAATCCTACGCTCACAGCTCGTCTGGCCAGCCAATGGGCTGGTGTAACCCAATCTCGAGGCACTTTAGATATCCTGTAAACCGAAAGTCCCCCAAGAAGCCGGCGAACATCACTCAATAACCATAAGCAAGAAACATCAGTTGACCGATCATGCTGAAGAAGTGAAACCATAGTAGCGCTATCCGTGTAAATAAAAAGATTATGGAACCCTCTATGAATAGCCGCCTGGAGACCCCATAAACAAGCATGAAGCTCAGCCTGGAAACTTGGAAAGCGGACGCAGCACGACGGGCCCTAGAACCACCTCCTAAAATCTCATCCGATTCAAACCTACGGAAAATCCAACCCGTTCCCGCCGAACAATCCGCAACAGTCCACGCTCCATCCAAAATCAAGCAAACCTGCACAGGGTCAGTCGAAAAGCCTCGAAGACAAGTAATAGAACGAGGCACAGTAGGGTTAACCCGACTCTGATGATCAGAAAAGAACTGAATAGAGAACAGACCAGCCTGATCTGTAACACCCCCAAATTACTCTCTAATATTAACAATAATAATCCAACTTTAGGGAGTAACATGGGAGTATTACCGCCACGTGATTACGTAAGGCTTAACAGAGTTTTTTTTTTTTTTTTTTTTGCAGCGGAAAATAGTACTTAACTTTCATTAATGATAATAATAGTAGTAATAATAGTTTGATACATTTTCAAAAAAACTACACCACTAATACTATGTCTACTAGATTAAGCTAGGTGATCACCGCCCATCACTCCCCATGCAGCATATAGTTCACGTCGTTCGATCGCCATCACCTATCTACTTATCAAAATGATAAGTAGGGCCAAGCCAAAACAAAACAAATACGTATTAGCCAAAATGCTAAGTACATACAAATGCTAGACATGTAAAATCAATTTAATTAATTAAACATGCTTTCGAAAAGATTTAACTTTATTAAATCATAATTTATCCAAACCATTCCTGAATATAAATTCACGTATAAAAGCTTGTCAAAAGAACCAATTTTCGAAATAACCAACTTTCCAAAAATAATTCCAAATAGGATGGATCAGTCCATATTTTCAAAAATCATTTTACCACCTAAGTGTGCACACCCCCCAAGCTAGTAACTCCTTTACGTAGTGCTATCAAGGGGAAAGACTAGGTCATACAAAGTCCATAGTCTTCAACTTACTCCGCACAGTGGGAGTTAAAAATCCAAGGATCCAAGGAATAAATCCTGATAAATAAACTTCCCAATATCCCATACTCGGGATAATTTAAACAACAAAACTTCCTTCATGAATATCAATACAAGTTTATAATCAACCATATAAAATATTCAAACATGTGAGATTAAGCAATTAAAACATGCTTCACTGAAATTTATATCATAATCATTTAAACATGGTTCGAAATCACTGAACATATAAATCACGTCGCATATAAAAGTCACTTTATAAAATATCTAGCCACGTGTACGTACCTTGATCTTTGCAAAACAAACACGGGGTTCCTAGTTACGAACCGGAAATACCTCCTACAACAAACCAATAATCCTAATCAAATACTTTTCAACCCATAGATACAAGGACTTAGACTATCGACTTTGACTAGTTGTGCATGAACAACTTATAATTATAACCCTTTTATAAAATTAACACTTGTATTTATAAAATAATCTTTAATAATTCATAATAATAATAATAATAATAATAAGAAGGTAGTATTAATGCTACGTAAGTAGTAGTAGTACATGTGAGTAGTAGTAGTCATATTAATAATAATAATAATAATAATAATAATAATAATAATAATAATAATAATAATAATAATAATAATAATATAGGAAGTAGTAGTAATACGTAGACGTAGTTGTAGTAGTAATACTACTAGTGCTTAGTAGTAGTAGAAGTTGAGAGTAATAGTAGTAGTAGTATTACTAGTACTTAGTAGTAGTACTAAAATGAGAAATATATGGCTTATTTACGGTTCAACGCAAGGAAGGAGGTGGCGGCAAGGAGGTGCTCGTGAGGAGCTCAAGACTACAAAATAAAAGCTTAAAAAGGAGGTGAAAATGGAGGAGGAAGGAGAAAGGAGAAGGAAAGTAAGAAGAGAAGTAGGAGGTGTGATGGAATAGCTCATGTTTCATGGCTATATATAGCCCCAACTCAGGCACTATTCCAACCGATTTCATAAATGCTGCCAACCCAATTAATGCGGCCAACCTAATAAATGTTGCTGGCCTAATAAATGTTGCTGACCCAATAAATGCTGCCGGCCTAATAAATGCAGCTGACCCAATAAATGCTGCTGACCCAATAAATGATGTCGGCCTAATAAATGTTGTGGATATGAGTAGTAAGGGTTGACCTTGATTACGGGAGGAGGGATAGTTTGGTACTTGGTAGTTTGACTCAAGTAAAATACTGAAGGTTGAAATTCCGACAACTTTGAGTTGACTCATATAATTACAACGCGTAACAAAATTATATTTTTGTAAAATCATGTATGGACTTAAATAAATATTTTTTTTGTATAATAAAATATTTCGGAAAAATCCATAATTAATAATTAGTAAATGACTTAAAAATACGGGGTATTACATGATCGCTACGAGAAACCCACTCATCTGCTAATGCAAAGATGGTGGTAGGAGAATAAAGCGCATGCCTAAAGATGAACTGATTTCGCGACAACCAAATAGCCCATAAGAGGCATAAAAAAGAGCGTAATCCCCTCCACTGCTTAAGAAGTCTGAACTCTGTAATCAGATCCGAGAACCATAATTCAAAAGGCTACCCAAAAAAGGAAGAGCCATCCCACGATGGGAATCTGCAGGTAAGAAGGTGTCGAACAAAGGAACAATCCCAAAAAAGATGAGAAGTCGATTCAGGAGCTTCCCTACAGAAAACACAAATGGGATTGACCGGACCACCTCTCAAATGTAGGGAATCTAAAAGAGGCAGGGCGTGATGGAGAATCTTCCAACAAAACAGCTTCAATTTTGGAAGTATAGGCAGTCCCCACAACTTTTTCCACCAAGCATCCGAAGTAGGCTGGCATAATATAATTATTTTTACCTTTATTACTACCTCCGTTACGGGTTATGTGTAACGATTTGACATAAAGTAGAGAGGAAAAATGGCTAATCGTTACACATAACCTGTAACGGAGGTAGTATGAATATATAATCTGTATTTTCTCAAGAGTAATAAAACTTTCCCCTTGTTTGCTTGTGGACGTAGCCAGCACATTGTTGGGTAAATGTCTGTGTGTTTTTGTTGATTTTGTTTATCTTTCTTGCATCCATTATAACATGTTTAAAGTCATGACTCATGAGTAACACATGACACATATTCTCAATTGAAAATGCTTTAAGTAGATGTTGATTAATGAAAGTAAATGTATGGATTATAATTTTAACTTCTTCATAATGATACCAATTACTATTTTTCTAATGTAATAATAGCGGGATTATTGAAAACACCGTGGCGTAATGCTTGTAAAAGAGACCGCATTTTTGTAATAACTGGTATGTTTGCTTAGTTAATTGACAAAACATCTCACAAGTTTGACCTCAGGGATACGAGATCACGTTTCTTTGCCATCTTGGTCAATAGTAATTTATGTCCTCTATATACACCTATACATATATATTTTTCATTAAGCAAAATAAATAAATAAATTACAAATATGTAAGCGTAATAGGCTCAACAATTTCAAGACAATAGAGATTATTCTCTTTAAATCTTCTTTGCATTTGTTTTAATATTAGTATTATGTTTCATAGTAGCAATAAGTTATAATTCTTTCAAAAAAAATAAAAAAATTCAATCGGTGTATAATGAAAATTGTTGAACCTATTGCGTTATAGACAACCGTGACCGAATCACACACTAGTTTGTTTTAAAATCAGTGTATAATCAAAATCCAAACTCTTTGCCCTGCTTCTTTTGAAGTGATCGCAATTGGGGAGGGCCTGAACACTGCTTGGGAAAGAGGAATTCGTACCTTGGAGCTAGAAACAGATGCTCAAGCTCTCATTTACATGTTGCAGAACCCTCCTACTATATAAACCACAATCTTTCTAAAATTGCCAACGAGGTTGCAAAGTTACTTCAAAGGGAATGGATCGTCACTATCCTTCATGTGAAAAAGAAGTGCAAACAAGATCGCTCATGGTTTAGCTGAGATTAGAAGAAGGCAAGAGGATAATCTAGTGTTCCATTTCTACTCTCCACCGCCACTTACACCAACCTACACTAAGGTTTTGGCAAACACCATTGCCATAAACAATGAAAGCCGACCTCTATCTATCTAGTTTTGTCTTTGCTTTTCTTGGTTCATAGTTATTTGCTTTCTATGGATCAGGTTGGTTTCATGGTTGTATTTTTCAACAAGTCCAACAACATAAGAGCCCTCTTTTAGTTACAAATTTGGAATTTCCAAGATATTTTAATTATCTCGTTGTAATTCTTACTTTTATTTTTCTTTGAAAACTTCTCGTTGTAATATAATATTTATTTTTTTTGTTAAAAATAAAAGTAAAATAAAAATTATTTATATTTAATCGCTGAATCATGCTTTCAAAAAAAAAAAAAAAAAAAAAGTCGCTGAAACAAAAAATAAGAATATTTGCAAAATAGAAGGATGTTCTAAAAAAAAAAAAAAAAAAAAAAAAAACAAGGATGGACAGGGACCCATAGCTGCATCACCCTTTACTGTTCTTTGCTTCAATTTCTCAAGCAAGTCGCTCAACAGAACAGAGGGAATTCGCGCGCACGGAGAGAGAGTATAAATTAGGGTTTTTGCCGATAAAATTGTCCAAATTGAAATTGATTTCAAAATCTTTTGGCCCTAATTTGAAACTTAATCGATCAAATTCCATACAATGGAGGAAGAAGAAGACACGATTTTGCTCAATAGTTTAGGGGTTACCTCTGTCAATCCCGAGGATATTGAAAGAGATATCTTACATAAGGTAACAATTCTTTATTGAATCGATCTTAGTTTTGTCAAATTTAATTTTAATTTGGATTGATTATGTTATGTTTTGATGTTATACAATGTGGGGTTTTACTATTTTCTGAATGTTTGATTGAATTTGTACATTTAGCTATCAATTTCAGGTACAATTTATTGTTTTAAGCCAACATTATTTTGCTAAGTTTGTCCTTAATTATGGGAAAACTTTATTCGAGTTAAAAATTTATGTATAGTGATCCTCAATTGATGATCACACACCGCTAAATTATTCATTGAGGTTATAATTTTTCACAATGTCACCTTCGATTGATCGGGTGGTGATACATCAAGGGTTGAAGGTAGGGAAGTGTTATCGTAGTTCTGTGGTGGTTTTAGTGATCAAAATTGTTTATGGGGGCGGTGGTCGGGGTGGACAATTGGGTACCTGGAATTAGGGATTTTTGTTGAAATTATGGATTGATGGAGAGTGGGAGTGAAGAAGGGTATTATATCTTACAAAAGCTGAATTTGGGGAAAATATTGATTTTGTGTGTTTATGTGCAGGCTAGAACTAATGCTGAAAACAGTTCTCATGGCGGGAGGGGTACTTCGGAAGTAGAAGATTTCACTGATTCCGTGGGAACTCAAGCTTCTTCTTCCAGCCAAGTGGAACTTTTGAAGAAATTAAGGGCCATAGAGGTTGAAATAGATGCTGTGGCTTCTTCTGTTGAGCAAACGAAAAGTGGGGGAAAGAATGACGAGATTGAACCTGAGAGTCATGGTGGAAACAAAGAGGATGATGAGGGTTTTGACAAGGCCATGCCTAATGGTTCTACCCTTCAGCATGCTTTGGCTGCTGATCGATTGAAAAGCCTGAAAAAGACAAGGGCTGAACTTCGAAATGAGTTATCAAATATATGTGAAGATGGCAAAGCTGTTGGGGTTGAGGAAAAGTTGTTGAATTATTTGGTCAGGGAAGAGTCTAAGTCAAAGCGGAAGTTGAAAGAGGTACAGAGCCCTAACAAAGAGTCCAAAAAGAAGAAGAAGGTTGTCTCATACCAAGAGGATGATGAATTTGACGCTGTTCTGAATGCTGCATCTGGAGGATTTGTTGAAACGGTGAGCTGTTAAATATACACAAATGTTTGTTCACTCTGCGGAGAGGGGGTGTGGTCATTGAAAATGTCATCTTTTCATTCTATATAGTGGTGCATGTTAACCTTATTTTGTTTTCAGTGACTCGCCTCATAACTATTCAAGGCTATGCTTAACTGGTTTCCAATTACTCTTATGACGTAGGAAAGGGACGAGCTTGTGCGAAAAGGACTTTTTACACCTTTTCATAAGCTTAAGGGCTTCGAACGCCGAATACAGCAACCAGGGACATCAAGCCTGCCGGAGGACAGGAATGACGCAGCTGACCATGCTTCTGAGAGTGTTGCCAGAGCAGTTAGGTCACTAACAGATGCTCGGCAAGCTCGTCCAACGTCTAAGCTGCTTGAGCCAAAAGATTTGCCAAGACTTGATACACCACCTCATGCTTTTAATAGATTAAATAAGTCTTTTAAAATTCCTAAAAGTTTAGACAGTGATGGAGAAAAGAGTAATGATGCAAAAAGGAAGAAGAGAAGGCCTTTGCCTGGTGAAAGATGGCGGAAACGCATTGCTAAGGAGGAGTTTGTGGCAGAAGAACCTGGTATGTAAGTGTAAGCTGTGTTGCCTTGCTTTGTGCTTTTATGTGATATTATATATATAAACAATCTGTACTTCTGAAAATTTCCATGTGTTTAGTGGTTTTTATCCTGGATTTTGAGGATTTTATCCTGGATTTTGCTATACCCAATGGCTTGTTTGCAGCCTCGAAATTCAACATTGAATTGAAGAAATCTTACTGGATTTTCTTTAATAGAGTAAATGGAGTCCATAAGATTTGTGTTTTTAAGGTTTTTTCATAATATATATTTTTTTTAATTTAATTAATTAATTTTTTTTAAAAATCGTGCCTACACATTGTTGGACTCTTGGCCACATGCATGATTTTGAGTATAATCGACATCATGTCATGTTGTGGACTTGTGACTACTCTATATGTTTCATTTTTGGCAACCAACAAAGAAGCCTTTGGCAGGGCAAGCAAAAGTTGATTAAATTACATCTAATGCATACTATTGTGTGATTGGCTTGGGAGCTGAAACTCAACCATGTTGCTGTTTTATGCTTAAAACTATTGACTATCAAACAATCAAACATCTTATCTGGAATTCTGGATACCCCCAGTTTAGCTACTCCACCTGTCCCGTAATAAACTTCACCCCTTACTATTTTGGGATAAAGGGAAATTGACCTTTCGATGTAATTTTTTTCACTTGCCTTTCCAACACCATACTCTATCTACTTTCAATGCTGTTATACTTCTTTCTCTCTATTTACTACTTATATGTTTTTGTTTACATATAATATTTTTTCTCATCTCTGTGCTTATTTGAAGTTAAAACTTTTTTATGGGATGGAGAGAGTAGATTTGAAATTGAGTTATGCTCAACATTGGATGTGTGAATTCCCTGGTCTGTTCGATTCTTATATTTAACCACATGGTGCTAGGATATATTGAAGCATTTGAACTCTTAACATTTTTTTGCGCTGATATTCTCTTTCCTTGAAAAGCAGATGTACAGGATGACTTAATCACAGAAACCCAGGATGCTGAGAATGGAGGTGGTGGCGAGACTCCATCTGTGACACTTGAAGGTGGGTTAAAGATCCCTGAAACAATATTTGTCAACCTGTTTGATTATCAAAAAGTTGGGGTTCAATGGCTGTGGGAGCTGCATTGTCAAAGAGCTGGAGGAATTATTGGGGATGAGATGGGTCTTGGCAAGACCATTCAGGTATTAGCATTTCTTGGGTCATTGCATTTTAGTAATATGTACAAACCAAGTATTATAGTATGCCCTGTCACACTGTTAAGGCAATGGAAGAGAGAAGCCCGGAAATGGTATCGTAGCTTTCATGTTGAGATACTTCATGATTCTGCTGTTGATGTTGGTCGAAAACAAAAGCAATCTGAATCTGACGAGAGTGATTATGAAAGTGAAGGGTCATTTGAAAGTGATCAGGATAAAGTTCCCTCCTCAAGAAGTGCAAAGAAGTGGGATGCCTTGTTAAATCGGGTTTTGAGATCAGAGTCTGGATTGCTTATTACAACATACGAACAACTTCGTATACTGGGGGAGAAACTACTGGACGTTGAATGGGGTTATGCAGTACTTGATGAAGGTCACCGTATCAGGAATCCTAATGCAGAAGTTACTATTGTGTGCAAGCAGCTGCAGACAGTTCATCGTATCATAATGACCGGTGCACCAATTCAGAATAAACTGTCGGAATTGTGGTCTTTGTTTGATTTTGTCTTCCCTGGAAAATTAGGAGTCTTACCTGTTTTTGAAGCAGAGTTCGCTGTGCCCATAAAAGTTGGGGGTTATGCTAATGCATCTCTATTGCAAGTCTCCACAGCTTACAGGTTTGTTTTTTCTCTGTAATTTTGAAGACTAATGACTTATCTGTCTCTTTTTTGACTTAATTTACATGGAGCACTTATTGATGTTTCACCTTTTACTTATCCAATAATGCAGGGTGTAGATTTTGGTGTTGGCTGATGTATGAATTATCCTGAACTGTTATATTATGAATTACGATGGATTGATGGAATTAAGATATAAAGAATTAGTTGTTTAGAGTTGCCATATTTACATGTCACCACAGAGCAATGAAAAGTCTATCCTTGACTTAATGTAACTAATGTAAGTCCTTGATTTCTCATTGACCAGGTGTGCAGTTGTCTTGCGTGATCTAATCATGCCTTATCTCTTGCGTCGTATGAAGGCTGATGTGAATGCCCATCTTCCGAAGAAGACTGAACATGTCCTTTTCTGCAGTCTGACTCCCGAGCAGCGCTCTGTTTATAAAGCTTTCCTAGCCAGCTCTGAGGTGGAGCAAATATTTGATGGAAATAGAAATTCTCTCTATGGTATTGATGTGATGCGTAAGATATGTAACCATCCTGATCTCCTTGAAAGAGAGCACTCTTCACATAATCCAGACTATGGGAATCCTGAACGCAGTGGGAAGATGAAGGTTGTTGCTCAAGTACTGAATATGTGGAAAGAACAGGGTCATCGTGTTCTTCTTTTCGCACAAACTCAGCAGATGCTTGATATCCTTGAAAATTTTCTAATTGCCAATGAGTATAGCTACAGGAGAATGGATGGTCTTACTGCAGTAAAACAGAGGATGGCATTAATTGATGAATTTAATAATTCAAATGATGTATTTATTTTCATACTCACAACCAAAGTTGGTGGTTTAGGGACAAATCTTACTGGGGCAAACAGGGTGATAATTTTTGATCCAGATTGGAATCCATCAACAGATATGCAGGTCAGTGTATATTATTTCATGTTATGTATACTTGCTCGTTTAAGAACTTTCGTGATATTTTTCATTCATACACTGACTTATTTGTTGCTCTTGCCATTGGTTTTTGTTCTAAATATGTTTGCTCAGGGAAGTTTTTGAAAACATTGTCCCTAATGCTATTTTTCTGATTGGTTGTGCTGCTTGTGTATGCCATTCTGTATGGCTTTACTACAATGAAATTTCCCCTTCATGTCAAATAGAAAAGTTTCTGACTCTTTTTTCTCAATGCTGATAACCATGATGTCTGACTACATTATTACTCATAATAGGCCAGGGAGCGTGCTTGGCGTGTTGGTCAGACACGTGATGTAACCATTTTTAGGTTAATCACACGTGGAACTATAGAAGAGAAAGTGTATCATAGGCAGATATACAAACATTTTCTGACCAATAAGATCTTGAAAAACCCGCAGCAGCGAAGATTCTTTAAAGCAAGAGATTTGAAGGATCTTTTTGTTTTAACTGATGAAGAACATGCTGGCTCAACTGAGACTTCACATATTTTTGGTCAATTATCTGAGCAATTGAATGTTATTAGCACTGATAAAGAAGACCAGCAAAAAGATAATTGCTCTGGAGCAACAATTGCATGTGCCAATGACACAGCGTTGGACAGAGAAAATAGCCCGCAGCAGGATTTATGCGGAAACAAAGAGAAAGAAGGTGTTGAAAATGGTCGAAATGCTGACGAAGAAACAAATTTCTTAAAGAATCTTTTTGACACACATGGGATACATGGAAGTTTTATAAACCTGTTAGGCTATTTCTGTATGTCTAATCGTTTAGTGGATACTTTTGGTTTTGAATTGTGATGTTTTTGCCATACATGTTTGAGTTTTAGGCTGTGACATATGTATGTCCAAAAAATTACATGTGTCCGATCTGATTCATGCTGGTATTACGCTATATTATCTTTTTTTCTAAACCTTTATCTTTGATATACAGAGTATGCAATTTTTTGCATTTATGCTTTCACTCTTTTTTTCTTACCTTTATTAAAATATAAAACAATTTGCATTTGGATCTGTGCATTGCTGCATTGTGATGTGTGGTTTCCATATGTTTTGAGTAATTTCCATCCTATTTTTACTATTTCAGAGTGCTATAAATCATGATGCTATCATGGATGCCCATGATGAGGAAAAAATGAGGCTCGAGGAGCAGGCTTCCCAAGTTGCACAGAGAGCAGCAGAAGCACTTCGTCAGTCGCGAATGCTTAGAAGCAGGGAGAACATAGCCGTTCCGACATGGACAGGAAAATCTGGGGCTGCCGGTGCGCCTTCATCTATTCGCCGGACATTTGGGTCAACAGTGAACTCTCAGTTGGTAAGAAACTCCAAATCAGAAGATGAGGCACCCAAAACTGGTACAAATGGATTTGTTGCAGGAGCTGCTTCTGGTAAAGCATTGTCTTCCTCTGAGTTGCTAGCCAAAATTCGAGGGAATCAGGCTAGTGCAGTCGGTGATGGGCTCGAACATCAGTTTAGTTTGGCTTCCAGCTCTTCTAACAGGGCAGGTTCCAGTGTAACCAGGCCTTCTCGGGCATCTCAGAATCTCAGTGGGGTCCCTCCAGAAGTTTTAATCCGAAATATCTGCACATTCATCCAAAATAATGGTGGGAGCACCAGTTCTGCCACTATAGTGGAACATTTTAGAGATAGAATTCCTTCTAAAGATTTGCCCTTGTTCAAAAATCTTTTGAAAGAAATTGCTATACTAGAAAAAAACCGGAATAGCTCAGTTTGGGTTCTAAAGCCTGAATATCAGTTGTCACGTTCTTGAGCTGCATACATGGATATCCTTTGGAATGGAGCAAGAAGATTGTGAAGTAGAGAGCTACTCTGATGTATTTCACAATTTTGGCTATAGGTAGGAAATTTTTAGGTGAAGTGCATTCTTTTAGCCATAGAATTATAGAATTATTGGACGGATGTATTCATTGTAATCTGTAAATAATAATTGTTTACAAGAATAAATCCTTACATATCATAAAGAAGTGCATTGTTTTGTTGCCTTTTACCTTTTTCAGTTTTAGGGTAATAAACTAATAATCGATTGAGAAGGGGCTCTATAATCTCAATCTTGGAGGAGAAGAGCATTCACTTGCTTTAAAAATTGTCTTGGAGATAAAGAGAACTCCATTAAGGTCAAAAGGGCTTGAGTTAGTCGGCTTATTGTTGATTTTTTAATTTTTAAAAATTTTGAGCGACAAAGAGAGGTGGTAAAAAGACATAAATAAAAGCAAAACTAGTAAACAACACCTTAGGTCTTAGGCATAAGCACTTAAGCAGCCACAACCGGTGCCTCCTAGACTCCTAGTCCTACTCCTACATAGCTCGACCAAGCACAAGACCATTATTAGCCCAACATGGTAATAGAGGCATGCCGATGGGGTGTGGGCCATGTGTGGACATCAATTTCAAAATTCATCAAGAATCGAACATGAGCACAATAGGCTGTCTCGATGTTGGTTTGTTTATTCTAACCAAATCAACAAAAATGGAGAGATGATTAGGGGAGTTGGTTGGTTGGGACGACACGTGTTTGACCCAGTATGACAATTTCTTAGCCGTCTAGACATGAGACACGCTAGCATAACACGTAGACCTACCTTTATACGTTTCCAAACGGACCTAACAGTAGCCATCCAAATACTTTGACGGCCCAAGTATAGATAAGGGCATAAGGCCCATAATTGTCCCGCGAATAGAAAAATCCTGAAACTTGAAATCATATAAATATATCAACCATTTTAGGGCTTCTCTTTGTTGTTGTGTAGAATTGCAGAGGACAGTCGTCAAATACACAAAACTAACACTTCGTCGGTGAATTTTCTTCTCTTCTTCATATATATATATATATATTTTTTTTTTTCTTTTTCAAGAACATTAATTTTAGTTTTTTAATTTATCTAATTCCTGATATTTTGTTTGTGTGTTTTGATTTTTTTTTTTTTTTCATTGAGTAGGTTAAAGAAATTATCAAAAATGTATTTGCAATTCTACATCAACGATAATGGCGACAAAGTCTACACTACTAAGGTATTGTGTTTACCTCTTTGTTTTCTGTTTCATGTAATTAGCTCAAATCGTTTTTAATTTGAATTTTGTTTTTGTTTGTTTAATTTGCATATTTAGTGTGGGTAAATTAATATTGGTGCTTTGATGATATGTTGCTTCTTATATTAAAAATTTTGATGAAAAGTGAAGTATGGATTGAATATAATATGATAGTATCACATTGTAATTGGAGCATCCTTGTTGGGTAGTTAATTATATTTATGAAATTTTCATTTTAGGGTTCTTAATTCTAAGTATTGATTTGATTTCATGTGATATTTCAGAAGGAATCGCCTGTTGGTAAGGCTACACAATCTGCTCATCCAGGTAAAATTGCTGCTACCACCTTAAACACATTGCGTCTGTATAATTGAACAATTTGTGTTGTTATTGCTATTGTTATGTGCTAGTAAACCCTAGAAGGTACTTTCGAAGAACACGGAACGGAATTTAATTGAATTTTGACATTTAGTTGATGATGAAGTTTGTATTGTTGCATATGTGTAGTCTTGATGAGGCTTCTTTCGATTGTTATGCTTGAATGTGCTTTGGTTTCTTAATTGTTGATGGAATTCAAGGTTGATTTCGAGATGTTAATCATTATTACTGCCATTGTTTTAGTAGCTGGATGGTTTGATTGGTCTTTGAAAACTTAAGTTGTTACCATTTGTTCATCTGAATGGGGCGTTCTGTGATGCTCTCTAGTTAATTAAATTCGAGTACCTCTCGTATACCTGAAGTTGGCTATAGGCTTTTAAACTAATAGATCATTTACTTTAGCATTTTGGGTTTTCATTACTGTTTATGAAATGCATTCATGATTCATCCCCTGACTATGTTATGTATTGACTATGCAGCTCGCTTTTCCCCTGATGACAAATTCTCGAGGCAGAGAGTTCTGTTAAAGAAGCGTTTTGGACTCTTGCCTACCCAACAAGCTCCTCAAAAGTACTGATAATGGATTGTATGCCGTGCATTTGGTGCTTGACTCTTGCAAATCAGCTTATGAGTGCCAAGGAGCATTAGGAATTGTTAGTTTATTGAGTAAAATATGTAATGGAATGGCCGTTGTCTCTAGTATGTTTTGCGATCTTGAATGCTAGATTATTGAGATGTAGACGTTTTAAGGATGTAATTCGAAGAACAAGTCTTACCATGATATATTTCAAATTTTAATTCCTTGTTTCCTTGCATATTAGAGTATATATTTGTTTCTTCCTCGCTCTGCTTTTTGGTTGTGTGGAGAAGGTAGTGTTGACTATTGAAGGCTAAACTAATGCAAACATTGGATTCAAACAAGTTGTAACCTATTGGGAGTTGCAGCTAGGAGGTAAAGCTTGTACGTCGTGATCATTCTTTTTACCACATTATAGTCCATACCATTCACGTATTTTGAGTGATAAGTGTATTGTGCACCTAACAAAAATAATACAGTACGTAACTAGACCTTCTAATTATGTACCATGTAGTATTTAACATTAAAGTAATTAACTACAACTACTAATATATCAAATACGAATGGCTACCTTGCGAGGTCTATTGGTATGGGTAGGACATATGCGAGTTCATCTTATGGTGGATTATAAGGTTTTGATCAAGCTTATACATTCACATAATATGTCAATGCAAATCTCTTATTCATGATATAGGGAGTGTGAGATTCCTATTAGCTATTGTTTTAGAGATGCCATTCGCAATGGAAGATTGACTAACTTAGCTAATTATGGGGTTAATTCGGATAAAAAAATTACTCTTCAAAACGATTAAAAGGATTTTCGTACCGTTTTATTAGCGGACCTTAGCGGAGTAGCGTAGGCTTGTAAAAACCCAATTAAAATGAAGACTATAGTAGGATCTCCTTTAGTTTTAGTCCTTTTTAGTTTGTGTTCTTCTCGCAGAAATACTACAATGGAGGATAAAGCTGGACCTTCTTCTTCCTCTTCCAATGCCGAAAAGAAGCGAAAACGAGTCACAGACTCCGATTCCGACTCGCAACTCAACGACGATGACGAAGAATTTCTCTCTCTTGGCAAGTTCTCAATTTCCAACCTCTTTTCAATATCTTCACTTGTTGTCAAATTTTTATTTGTAATCGCAATTTCATCTTCATATCTTCCGTTGAATTGAATTACGATTAATTCGCAGATTTTGACCTAGGTTTTAGCCCTAATTTTCTACAATTTGATTTCTGGAAATCTTTTTTTTTTTTTTTTTTTTTTTTTTTTTTTTTTTTTTTTTGATTTTTACAGAGAAGAGTCTTACGTTTAGCGATACTTAAGTTGCTCTTCGGATGATGCGGGCTCAATTCCCCAAGCTTGAGAAGGTTTGTGATTATGATTCTTCAACTTCAAGCTTTGTTCTACTTATTGATTTTTGTTTAATCATTTTAATTAGTATGCGTTGATGATCAAATCCGAATTACGCACTTTAGATTGCAACAAATCCAAATTATGTGCTTCAGATTGTAATTTTCTGTGTTAGATTGATAGTTGCTTAATTAGAGTTATTCATGCTATATGCAGTGTTTATTCTAGGATTTTTCGCGGTGTTATTGAGTTTCATTGTTCAATTTATATTTTGTGCTGAAAGATATGGCTTTCAAATGTCTGTTTCTCTATCTTGATGATATGTTCAATTGATTGTGATTGTATGATTTGAAATTGAACCTGCAGTGCAGGCATGCTGCTGCGAATATTTTAGTGGTCTGGACTCTCTTGAATGTGTAAATTGGAATTATTTTACAGAAACATGTATGATGCTTGTGAAGTCATTGCATCAATGTAAAGCTTGAAATTGTAGAAAGTTTTATTGAAGGATACACTTTCTAATGAAATTTTATAGGAGTTGTAAAGTTTTAGTTTCTTGATGTACTTGAGGGGAAAGTTGAAAGTGAAGTTATTCCCTTTCTCTTGTAATGGTGAAGCAAACTTTGATTTAGAGGTCTTGCTAACTGACTTTATGCTTTCTTATGTTCAGGTAACTGTCAAACCCTTCATCTTACGTTCGCAACTGTATAGTAGCGTGAAAGATAGAACTCAGGTTGATCATGAATTGGAGGTCTGATTCCTTGATTATCTTATTTTTATTAACTTGTTTTTATTTTATTCTCCTGTGTATTCTGGATCACATAATGTTGTATGGTTCCAAGCAGATGTCTTAATTTTTGCAATCCGGAAGATGTGCTTGATGTATCAATTTTAATTTTCTATGTCTCTGTTCAGTTATCTACAACAACAATAACATCATTCTAGTATATTAGCATGAATATAGGATGTGGGGAGGTCCAAATAGTTGCAGCCTGAGATGAAATACTCTAAATAATTTGAAAATTACTACTAGAGAGGATGTTTCTCAAATATCCATTTACAATGATTAGAAAAGCCATACACTCATATTATTTACTGCAATAATGAAAATGCCGCAGACGAGTACATTAGAAAATGCCTGTTCAATGCCAATTATTCTGTAATATATTAGTGGCTAGCCTCTGTACTATACTAGTGATTATGGTGCGAAGGTGGGGATATTAGAACTAACTTTAGCAAAGTAGGGACACCTAATTGTAGTACAATGATGGCAATTTAAGTCTACAGGGTGTTATTTTATTGCAATTATGTTCTGGTTCCTTGTGGAATGGTTATAGTTCTGGGAGCACAAGTTATGAGTTGTTAGTTGTGACATTAATTTTAGAGTAGTCATAGTTGCAAGGTTGCCAAGATATCTGGTAGGGTCTGTAGGGCATGCAATAATTTGATATAATGCTACTAGTTACAACCTTGTTTAATCTTAGTTTTGTTAATTGTTGTAGACTGGTTTTCTAGCTATGGCAGATGAATTTTTGTAGTGCCATGTGAATACAACTTAAAGAGACCTCCCTGGTGATATGATCTTCTCAAGTTCTTGAGAAGTATCATTTTCTTGAAATTTTTGCCTCGGTAGGAATATGTGTAGATTAGTATACACTCGTATTGCTTAGTATTGGTCCATATTCTTGCTTCTCTGTGATTGAGTTGGTTCCTTGTATTAGAATGACTACAATTTCACAACAATTTTAAAGCAGTCTCAGATTTAAGTACTCTCATTTTTGCCTGTTTTTTCTGAAGTAGAGCACTGGAAAGTTTTTTGGTTGCCTAATCTACTTTTTAAGGAGTCCTACTTCTTACAAAACAGAGGAAGAAAATCACCCAGCCCCACTAGTTTTTTGTCAATTGTCTGTTATCTCTTACTGGTCAAGTAAGCAGTTGTTGGCACTTTTTACATACTTCCTCTTAAATTAGAGACATTAAGTCAATTATCAATCACCTGGACTTTGTTACTTGTTATATTTATATTCATGTAAGCATTACGTCCATTGTATAGCTTTATGACTATCGCGGCGAAGATTATTATTCGGTGTTTTAGTCTCATATGTTGTCACTGCAACAATTCTGAACTTAGAGATAAAAGTTTTTCCAGGACTTAAGCTGCTTTTGATATAGCAACTTTTCCTTTATTTATTTATTTATTTTTTTATTAACGAGCCTTTTAAATCTCATTTGCAGTTGTTGAAGAGGGATAAAGTTCTGCGTGTTTTTAAACTAAATACAGGGCAGGATGATCATGCAGTAATGTTTTTTGAAGACTACATACAGCAGGTTATTTTTCTACTTCTGCATATTAATGTTTTTCCTTTTTGATTTGTAACTACTGTTGCCTTATGAAGTGCAAGAGTTGAACCAATGAACCTTAACATTTTGTAAAAACATCTTGTGAACTAATGAATTTTGCCTCCCCTAGGCTTGATCTGGTATACTGACTAGGCGACTATTGAACTTAGAATAATTGTGTTATTCTAATAATTTTTCTGTATTGATTTCTTGTTTGTAGATAGATAATATTTCAAAGAAGATAGGAACTAAGAAGGAAAGTGACTTTTCTGTGTTCAGTTGGTTTAAGTCTCATGTTATCACATCCAAGTTAGAGCCAAGCATTTCACATCAAGAGCTTGTAAGTGCTGTTTGTTGGTGATAATTTGCTTTGTTGCTGTTTTCAGTTGAAGGTGTATGTGGCTCTAAGTGATTGACTAATTGTGAATGCCAGCAAGTCAGCAACTCGAGTATCTAGTTTTACTTCTATATGTTCTCTGTGGTTTTGTAACAGTGCTTTTTTTTTTTTTTTTTTTTTTTTTTTGTGTGTGTGTGTGTGTGTGTGTGTGTGTGTGTAAGTGTAAATGATGTTTATTACTTGTTTTTTATATTATTCATTTATCGAGTGAGTGGGTGTAGACTTTTTAATCATTTCTTTCTATGTTCAGCTATCAGTGACTTATAATTTTCCTGCTCTGATAATAATTTTCTCCTGAGTGAAGTATTACCTGGTTATGTTAATCTCAAAACTGTTATTTTAACTTCTGAATTTGCATAAAACATTCTTTTTCTGCCTTTTGCTTGTTGCAGTGCTCCCTGTTATCAGCAGGAGGAAAAATGAAGGACGAATATGTATCTCTCTTGGTTAATGCAGGCATTATTGTATGTAAATTCTTTCTTTCTTTTCCTATTTTTTAATATATATATATATTTATATATATATATATATATATATATGTATATATATATATATGTATATATATATATGTGTATATATATATATATATATATATATATATATATATATATATATATATATATATATATATATATATATATATATATATATATATATATATATATATATATATATATATTAAAATTCCAGATGAACTCTCCTGCTGTGGGTTAGCTAAGAAAGTAGCAAGTATATTTTATGGTGCAATATGCAATCTTACATATAACTTCATAAATTTTTACACTATTGTTGTATCTGTAGACTCGACAACTTATTGATCCAAACGTGTACTGGTTTGCTATACCAAATATTGGCTCGATTCTAAAGGGGATCTCTCAGGTATGTAACGATGTTTTCCCTGCATCCTAGAATTGTAGAGCTATAAAGCCTTCTAGTATGCAATATGATTAGATAATCATTTGTACCATCTAGGATAACTAATAATAGTTGTCTACTTGGTTAGAGGACATTTGATTATAAAATAAGAGATGTATTTTCTAAAGTTAAGACAGCTGAAATTGTAGAAAACCCTTAGGCTATGTTTGTTTTGATGGAAAACATTTTTCAAGTAAAATCATTTTCTAAAGGTTACAATTTTCAATGGAAAACCATTTTCTGAAGGAAACAATTTGCAATGGAAAACATGATTGTGTGAAGCATTTTCTGTTGTTTGTTTATAGGAAACTTATGGAGAAAAAGGAAAATGGAAGTAAATGGGAGAGGAGGATAGAGGAGTGAGGAGTAAAGGAAACTGTGGCATGCTTTTTTCACAAACGGAACATGGTTTTCCTTCTGTAAAAGTAACTTTTCACCTATGGTTTAATTGTTTTCTACCCTTTAACAAAACAAACAAATGAACATGGAGAAATAAAGGAGAATCATTTTCCAGGAAAATGTTTTCCACCAAAACAAATGGAGCCTTAGTCTTTGCAATCTTGTATTCTAATTCAACTCTATGCTATGATACCATTATTTACTATATACATTTTGAATATGGTTATTAACTGGTTTCTTGCATATATCTTTAATGCATCTCCCAAAATGGTGAAAAATAAAATGTGTTCTATTAGCTGGTATTACTTATTGAGTTTTCTCTGTATAATGACATCTGTATATTTGAGTCTCTGCTTTTCATCATCAATCGTTTGCTTATCCTAATCAAGTTATAAACTATAATGGTTTGGAAAAATATCCAGTGAGCATGCCATTGAAATCATATATCATACACGAGATAACCCTTAACTTTGTAAAATGTTATTAACTTTTTTTTTTTTTTTTTTTTTTTTTTACAAAAAATGATTACAAGGCTTTGGATGTTATTGTTTAATTGTTATATATATTAGGTCTTACGTTATAGAACTTTTAGTGATTTCTAAATCTATTTTCAACTTTCCACACTCCACACTCTTCACAAGGTCATGTATTTCTTGTATTAGAGACATAGACTCCAATGACTTTTTGCTTGATGTTTGTCCAGGGCAGAAAGGAATTTCTGTCATTCTTGAATCACAGGAAATACAAGGAAATGATGCTGGCATTACTTGAGAAAAGGCGCCTTCGGTTTTCTCCACTTGATATGAGATTTCATCTTCGCGATTTAATTGGCTCAGGTCACCTGCAGACATGTCAGACTCCAACTGGCGTAGTAGTTCGAGTTTTGAAGGATTAGATTTCAGGCAAAGTACATTTTTACATTTTCCCTATCAGAACACTGGATCCGGTGGGCCAGAATGTTAAGCTGTTATAATGATGGCAAAGGCGAGTTTTAAGGCAATCCATTGATATAATGATGAATCACAAAATGTTGCTGTGTATTTCGCTTGGACTTCTCAAATATGTTGGCTGGTTGAACAATTTTGGGACAGGTAGCATTAGTTGATAAGCATTTTACATTTAGTGGAAATTTTTAAATTGTTGATAGTTTATTATAGTTCAGATTTACTATTTGAGTTGCATTTTGAGTAAACTCTGGTGGTTTGCACATGCCATTGTTGATTTTTCTACCATCCTTACCAATAATAAACCAATGAGTAAGCCTTTGTGCTTTACTACCTTACGATTTCATGATAACTTGCCATGGTAACCTATAGAGTAAAACAATTCTTCTTATCCATCTTGCCACTGAGGCTAAGTATCTAGATTTATGCAATTTTTGCTGCTTTAAGTCACAGCTTCTTGTTCCACAGCAACTCCACTCTTTTATAGTTTTTTATACTCATTTGGTAGTTGTTAATGAGTGGTGGACTGGTGGTGATGGTAATGACTTTATATGTAATTTTGCTAGATGGGGTGTTTTTGAAGGGGTATTGAATGTCCTGTTCTTCCTAATTTCCATTACCACACTGCCTCCTCTAGAATGTAAAGAGTGTTAAATAGAAGTTTATAGATATAATATGCTTGGAGGATGTTTAGGAAAGAGTTGCTTTGACTTGGACATTGGCATGGGACTTTCCTAAATACAAACAACTTCATTACCATTTCCAACATTCAGTGTTGCCTACCAAAGTTGCTGTTATGCATTGAAATTTATTGAGGCAAGCATTGTAGTCATCGTCCTGTATTTTCTTTCACCTTTTTGTTCATCTCTCCTTCTAAACTGTCTTTGCTCTGTGTTTAATTGTTTATGAATTAGGCAACCAATGCATTCTGTGCTTTGCAATTTCAGGTGGGCTCGTTTTGCTGAGGGATGCCTCAATTCCGACAACAGAGCTTCCGTTTGGAATCAGAGTTCAGGGTTTAGGCATGTATGTTTGTTCATAACATACTGGAACACTATTTATTAATAGAGGTGACTCCTATAGCTTACCCATTATTTCTTTGGTCTTGGGCTTATTTCGTAATTTACTGAAGAGTCTCAGACACAAGATCTTAATCATGTAGAATGAATAGTGACATTTTTTCCCCCTTCTTCCTATTACTACTTTAACAATCTGACTTATGGAATGCACATGAATATTTTTCTTTATGTTATAATTTTATGACTTTGCTCATTTCCTGCTGGAAAATTATCTAGAATCAACTCCCCTACCTCTATTAGCTGATCATAAGAATTCTTATCATTACGCCAGGAATGATTAATCTGTGGGTTTTAGAGGATCTACCTTCTTGTGAACTTTATTAATTGGGCTGTCCTTATTAGCAAAGATGTTTTCTTTTTCTATAAACATTGCGTTTTAAGCCTATGCACGATTTCTGCAACAGGGACCAATCTATCTCCTGTCTAAAGTTATCCAAGACACTTTTTTTTTTTCATCTCATGAACATCTGGTCAAGTACTTGGGAAGCCTCTTTTGCTACCTCTTAGGAGATTGTCATGTAGATGATAGCTTTGGCGGGGAGTGCTATTTAGCAATTAGCATGCCGTGTAAAGCTCTGTTTTTCTATCTTGTCTGTAATCTTTGGGTAGATTTTTTCTCGTTTGTTTTTCACGGAGGTGTGTCATTTCAGACTTGTTTGTCAACTGTCATATAACAATTTTGTACAGAATTAGCCTGTAATAGATAGATTAGGATGTGCTTAATTCCTGATTAAACATAAATGACAGCCACAGAAGTGTCAGGGCCTCTTGGGGTCTGTCAGACACAATCATAATTTTGGATTCTTGCTTTCTATATTTGATGTCGCATTGCAGTGGTGATAGACTGATAAGTTCAAAGGATTTCATGTTAAGCTTATTGGAATCTCGGTGAAGGCTTTTTATATCATATGATTAGTTATATTTTGTAATGTATGCATGATTAGCATGAATGTATTAGTTTGAAGGTGACCATTGTCACTCACATCAAATAAATGAAGTGGTGGATCTTTGCAAGTGATAGTGCATGTAACTGTTTTTATTCTGAAAATTCTCAGATATTGACATGGAAACCGATAGACTATAACAGCATAGGTTGTTTTCTATAGGTGCAATGTGCAATGTGCAATTATTGGATTGTAAGCAGATTTCTGTGACACCGACTGATGATCAGAATATTGTGTATTTGGTGGTGGTAACTGGTAAGCCTCTTTAGGGCAATAGGCTTATTTCAAATTATGCCAGGGAAGTCGCATACTACTGCCCATTTTGATACAACTCTAAATCATTTTTGAGTTATATTGAGTGGTAACCCAAAATTTAGAGTTGGAGCATAAATCATATGGAACTTGTTTAAGAGGTTGAGGTGATGGAGTAGTGGCATCGCTCCCATCTCGCATTCCTGAGGACTAGGGATCAAGTATTATGGGACTCATTTGAGGGATTTCCCTTATCTCCCTCCTCAAATGAGCCCCCTTCTTTTTACCCAAAAAAAATAAAATAAAAAATGGAACGTGTTTAATACACTGTCATAACTCATATGGAGCATAACCCATAGTACACTGTCATAACTCATATGGAAGTTGGAACGTGTTTCGCAAAATCATATACTACCTCCGTTAACTTTTATTTGCAACTTTATAATATTTTATATCTCACAAAAAAAGTTGCAAATAAAAGTTAACGGAGGTAGTATAAACTTTCTCAACCTATATGGGATAGAACAAATAATTGTTATCCCATTTTTGATATGAATAAGAAATACAGTTAAGTGATATAAACAACAAATTTACCAAACCCCGCAATTACCTCTTTCCCTTGTACCACACCCCCTACTTATAGAAATGGAGGGATAATGAGTATTAGTTGAATCACATTGCTCATTCATTATTACGCGTTCTAGATAATAATTGTTAGTAAAATCAAATACGTAGTATGATTTTAGTTTCACGAAAATCTTTATGAAGAAATGAGAATAAAAGTTATTCGATTTCTTTTTTTCGTAACCTTGTAGGATGTAGTTAGTTACTTGAGAGGATAATTAATTGCTTTTTGTTAATAATATTATCTCATATAAGTGTACGGATGTCAATTTCAATAAAGTTGGTTTTCTATCCGTTAAAAGTTGATTTTATAATCCTAAAGCTAAACACGTTTATCCTTTGTTTCTCTTAATTAAACAATATCACAAATAATACTATTAGATGTATAACTTTGCAAGTTATCAGCAGCCAATTGATGCGTGTAGTCCTGTCAATTGCTAAAGTTCAGAAAATCAGAATATTACTTAAGAGATTAAATAAAAAAAAAAGAAGATATAAATATAAATATATACATGTAAGATTTAGACTGTTTTTAACTACACTGATTGTTCTGTCTTTGTTGTTCATGTCACTGGTTAGTTAGGGAGATAACTGACATCCATAAATTGTTGTTGATTGGTGTTTAAGTTGTTTTTAGATGATTAGTTAGAAATTTTTTTACTTAATTTCAATTAGTAGGATTACCCTTCTGATAATTTTCTTTTTATTAAGCAACCATAAAAAGACAATAGAAATAGTTTACAAATAATAGAAATGACCTGTCTGTTATAGAAATTGTCTATTTACGCTTCTTAAGAGAAACGACATTCCTTCTTTTAAAACAGAAACTCTTTTCCAATCTTAGCAAAATCGTCTTTAACGTACGTGAGAGGAATAATCTTTTCCTCTTAATCGGTAATTTAGTGTGGTATTTGCTAGATTGAAGAGAAATCGATTTTTTTTTCTTTTTAAGTTTGGCTTAAAAAATGATGGGATTAGGTTTGAAGCCTCATACAAATGTAGCTGTTCTTAACTATTTCATACACAAAAGATTTAGCTTTACAACTGTAGCTCTTTCTTGCTGGAATTACACTAACTCACTAATGTTCAATATAGCAGTATTTTCATCCAAATTGTAACCAGCTTGATTCATGCAATTATTTGCTGAATTTAACTAATTCTAGTAGTACATTAGTACATATAATGTGAGGACCATCTATATATGAGGATTTTATTTTTTCGACATTGGCATGAATGATGTTTAATTGCATATGCATGAGGTAACAATTTTGGTTGGACAAGGCTACACTCTTTGAAGGTACATTAGACAGAGGAAATGTCTACATTTTCAGAGTTTTATTCGTCATTCCATTGATTTAAGATACATACCTTACGAGTACATCTCATAAGGAGCTTGAATTAGACTGGTCTAATAGTTGACGTGTTGTATCTAAAGGTCCCATGTTTAAGCGTGATGTTGACTTACAATACTGTAATCCAATAATATCATCAATCTATCTTACCTAAAGTACGTGTTTGTCAATCTTTTTAATTCGAATTTTGTTTATTTGAATGTCCACTTTGATAAATAATTTCATACTCATTGAACGAACCTTTGCCACACACATCTTAATGGCTTAATTAGCTAAATTTCACTCATTAAGATGTTTAATTATTCGTTAAAAGCTAATTATAAGTAGTTGGTATTCACAAACACTTCATAGACTTTTTTTTAATGAAAATAACATGTGTGAAACTTTAATTTCTTCAGAAAAAATACTAGCTAATTAGTAATATTAGTCATTAGTAAATCTTTCAAAACGTTGTGCACGATCAGCCAAAAGCAAACCAACAAAATAAACTTTATGAAAAGGAGCTTAATGTCTTTTACAAAGATCCCACTTTTAAAGTATGGATATGGACATATGGTATGAGCTCATACTCTCGTAGTGTGTTGCCTGTGATAAAAGAGACTTACTGTTAGTATATATATTATTTGGTATAGAGAGAGTCATAAAGGGCAAATGATATCGATATTATATGACTCAGTCATCTCAGCTCACGTCTTGAAACAACTGATTTGAAAATTTAACTATTTGCCTTTGAACATGCTACATGAGATATGATACAACATCTTTGTCGGCTTTGCACCCCATATTCCATTAAACTTAGAGAATGGACGGATGAGCAGAGATCACATATGCTTTGTCAAACAACAAAGCGAGCTCAACAGAACACCATAAGTCCTTGAATATTAATATTAATGTCTAATTTAATTTAACATTTTCAATTATATTTTCTTATATGTAGCCCTTATAAATGCTTGATATGTCATTTTCCAAGCACATGAGTTGCAATCCAATCTGCATATTTGTTTTAATGACCCAGTTATCATTAAAATGGTGTTACATGAATTGAATGTCATTAAAGCAAAGCGGAATTTTAGAATATTGTCTCTTCTATAACTACTAGCTCATTTAATTTATGGAATTTATTCCTTGCTCAATAGTCAAATGAATACCATTATAGATCTTGTCTGCCACTGGACTAGGTATAATAAAAGATTTTATAATATGGAGTATGTTGGTTAGGTGATAATTAATACGAGTAGTAGTAATGGTAATGAATTTAAGTGTAATGATTTAATTGCGTATCTACTCCTCTTCTTTGCAAAAACTCGTGTAAAGATTTTAAAGAAAAGTTGTCACTTTCATAGATGATAAATATTTAAGTGGTAATACGGAGTAGAATTTAGTCATGAACAAGGAATGCCCTTGTTTGAGGTAGAATCAATGTATTACCATGATTTTTAGAGTGTAGATGGATTGTAATTTTCAATAAACAACCCAGGATAGATCAAACCGGCTAAAACTCAACTCCTCGTTGGTGTTCGTTCATGTATGATGTTTAATTTAATAAGTTACCCGAGTTTAAACAATATAATGTTTGTAGTTTCTTGTTCAATATTTTGTATAATTTAAAATGCACTATAACATCCTAGCTAATAAACGAGTTGAGCCAACTTGGGCTTAACTATAAGGTAAATAAACATGAAGAGGGTATTACTTAGTTCGGCTCATTGGGTACGTTCTATTTAAATAAGGTAAATTCAAGAAGGAAAAAAAAAAAGGGTTATGCAAATACAAATTACAACTAAAATAAGTTCAATTTAGTTCAGATAAGTTACAATCAAGTAAAACAACATGAGAAGGATGATAAAACAAGAGGATGACCGTTTAAAATATCACATAGTATAATCATCAATAATATGCATATGACAAAAAAATTACTACTCTTATCTATGAGTAAATTGAAGTTAAATGTGGTATAATATCTCAAAATTTCCCATTTCAGGTAGCTTATACTTTGCTTTCTACCTTTCAAAAAAATGCAAACCTTAGATTAGGGTTTGGTGGGTCCACTAATAAGTTGTTGATCACGGGTTGTAGATAGCTAAGTTGATTTGATGTTTAATTATCACTATTATCATAAATGGGAATTTGATAGTTATTGAATTCGTAAAAATGTGGGGCTATATTAGTCCTCCTATATATATTTGTATTTGATGCTTGATTGTGGTCAATAAATGAAAGCGCCTAATTCTTGTGTCAATTTAAGAAGCATAATTACTTTTAGTTGTTCTTGTTTGCTCCACATTATTGTTATACTTACGTAGCTATGATGAGTTGGTGGCTTGGTGCAATGGTTGTTTATTTGCATGCCCATATACCAACATGAGACCATATGGAGACCGTCCAAAATGATTGAGATCAAAAGCAAAACTCGGGATCGGGTAAAGGAGTCTCAATCTTTTAAGAAGTCGATGTTCATTTTAAAATTATACTGGTATAAAGATCAAACCTAATACGTTAAATAATTAAAGAAATTATAATGAAATGTGCAAATGAAGTTGTTTATTTTTTCTAGTGGAATTTACTCAGTAAAAAAAAATAATGATGATGATTTGTTTATTAATTTATGCTCTTATGGGAAATCCAATATCTATGATGATTTT